GTAGATGCAGGTGTTAGAGGTAGATGCAGGTGTTACCTGTAGATACAGATGTTAGAGGTAGGTGCAGGTGTTAGAGGTAGGTGCAGGTGTTACCTGTAGGTGCAGGTGTTGGCAGTTAATTAATATCAGAGCCGTAAGTAATATTAGTTGGGAACAGAGAAATCCTCTCTGACAACTGTGTTATTTTAATTTTATTTTTATTTTTTGTTGCCGGGGATTGAACCCAGGGACGCTTCACCCCTGAGCCCCCAGCCCCAGCCCCTTTTGTTATTTTTAATTTTTAAATTTAGAGACAGGGTCTCGCTGAGTTGCTTAGCGACTTGCTGAGTTGCTGAGGCTGGCTCTGAGCTCGCCATCCTCCTGCCTCGGCCTCCCGGGGTGCAGGGACTACAGGCGTGGGCCACCGCGCCCTGCGGCAGCTGTGTTCCTCGTAACCAGCCCTCGGTGGACAGGTTGTGACGCTTTTGACCTGACTGGCAGCATCAGGGGTCCCCAGGAGCTCGGAGGAGACGGGGACCTGCCATCTCCCACCAGGCCCTACTTGTAAGGGTAGTGCCAGGGGCTGGGGACCAAGCCTCTGACAAGGGTCTTTTGCAGACCTGTTTCTCTCTCTCTCTGTTTGGTACCAGGGATGGGACCCAGGGCTGCTCCACCCCTGAGCCCCGTCCGCAGCCCTTTTTAGATTTCATTTAGACACAGGGTGTCCCTGAGTGGCTCGGGGCCTCGCTAAATGGCCGAGGCTGGCCTCCAACTTTCGATCCTCCTGCCTCGGCCTCCTGAGGAGGCGCAACGTTCAACCAGGAGGTGACTTGGAGACCCAAGGGGAAAAATTCCCGGGGAGACGGGACTAGCCTGTGCAAAGGCCCTGGGGTAGGTCCCATCCAGGCCGATGGAGGAGGCCGGCGTCCACCAGACACCGTGACCGACCCGTGAGACGAAGGGCCACACGCAGAGTAGAACGGACGCCAAACCAGTGGGTGCCAGGTCACAGCGGTGGCCGTGCGGAGACGTGACTTAACCTGCGGTCTCCCCTCACCCCACCCTCAGCCTCGGCCTCCTCTGGGGGTGGGCGCGGTTCCCAGAACAATGGCAGGGCCTGGGTCAGCCCAGAGCAGCCAAGACAAACAGCTCTGGGGACTTCCTGGAGCTCAGTGGCCCACAGGACGCCCGCCCGCCCGCCCGCCCGCCGGCCATGGCTCCCAGCCCTGGCCAGAGACCAAGTGCACGGCCACTGCCCCGGGGGCTGGGCCCACAGGCAGCCGATGGTCTCCTCCTGGCCAAGGCTGTCTTCAAGGTGACCCGGGTCCCTGGGGAAGGGACGGGGAGGTAGATGGCAGGAGAGACCAGACCCGAGAGGCTCAGGCCTCAGCTCAAGTCACTTACTGACTTTCTGTTTTTTGGGGGGGCTTTGGGGGGTCACCAGGGATTGAACTTGGGGGCCCTCGACCCCTGAGCCCCGTCCCCAGCCAGTTTTGCATTTTATTGAGACACAGGGTCTCCCTGAGCGGCTCAGGGCCTCACTTTGGCTGAGGCTGGCCTCCCACTTGCGATCCTCCTGCCTCAGCCTCCCCAGCCGCTGAGATGACAGGCGAGGGCCACCCCCGCGCCCGACTGGCCATGTCTATTTCTACGATTCTCACGACTCCAAGGGTCTGAGATATCCCAGAAGACGCCGTGGGCTACGTCATTCAAGGGCTAGTGACTGTGGTCACGGATGCCCCAAAGCAGACGTGGACCTCCTTAGCTCGTTAATCCTCCCATTTTACCCATGGGGAATCGGAGGGTCCAGAGAGGTTAATAGACTTGCCCGATGTCACACAGCTTGTCAGTGGACAATCAATAGGGTTCAAGCTGGGCATGTCCCTGCAGGGGAACGGGGAAAAGCCTGTCCCTCTAAGTCCCCAGGGCGCTGGGGCCGAGGGCTCTCAGAGGCACCAGGGAGTTCCACCAGGCAGAGCGGAAAAGTACCGCGTCCTGCCACGCGACCTGCCGGGCCACCGCCAGAGGCCCCCGCGGGTGGTGTCTGGCACCAGCTTCTCCCTCGAGGATCCCCGGGGGAGTCACGGAAATATGGAGAGACACTCTCAGGGGCTCATCCCCGGAGCCAACTCTGCAAAACAAGGGAGGCTCTCTTTAGAGGCACTGAGGCCGTGTGACCCCGCCGGGTTTTGGGGGGTGAATAGCAACCACACCCCGCCCCCCCACAAGATGCAGGGACCCTGGAAGTCGCTGACCTAGATCAAATCCCACCACCTCCAACGCTGGGCACAGTGGCTCACGTCTGGGATTCCATCGTCTCTCGGGAGGCTGAGGCAGGAGGACCGGGAGTTTGGAGGCCAAGCCTCCACCATTTACTGAGACCCAAAGAAAGACCCCACCTCTGACCCCTGCTGACTCAGGACCCCGTGAGGGTGACCTGAGCGCTCTGTTCCCATCTTTCTCCTCTGGAAGATGCAGCTAGCAAGGTCCCGAGCTCTTGCCAAACCTGCTCTGGGAGTTAAATGAGTTAATAGGTACAAACCCTGAAATAATAAGTGAAGCCCGCCCCCCAACAAGGGAAATGGCCCCCCACGACACTGGCTCTGGGCACAGCCCGAGGCTGCTTTGAAGTGGGAGGGGGGGGGACCCCACCGGAGCTGCTGTCTGCGGCTATTGTTCACCCACTGAGGCGTGGCCCACCCAGGGGCCTCCCAGAGGTGGGAGGTGACCAGGGTCTCCTGACCGTCTGTCTGCAGGAAGGGAGGGACAGACGGGCTGACTTTCTTGACTCCTCTGGGGCTTCCTGGCCCGCCCTCCGCCTCCGTTCTTGGAAAGTTGTGAGGATTTTTAGCCTCAAAGAAAAGAAATAAAGGTCAGGAGTAGGGTGTGGGGGCGTGGGGACAGGTCCTGAGGCCCTGGAAGAAGAAAGAGATTCAGGGAGCGGGTGACAGAGTTGGCCCTGGGGACTGAACCCAGGGGCGCCTCACCAGGGAGCCCCGTCCCCAGCCCCTTATTTTATTTTTTTTAATTGAGAGACAAATTGCAGAGGCTGGCCTCCGACTCCCGATCCTCCTGCCTCAGCCTCCCCAGCTGCTGGGATGACAGGCGTGCACCACTACCGTGCCCTCTGCGTGTGGCAGAGAGGAATTTGTGCTCTCCGTGGTCCCCCACCATATTCTGGACTTAGACCAGAAGAATAATTGTATCATGCTCAGGTTTTGGTTTGAAGCAGCAGGTTCAGAGAAGTTAAGCGACGTGTCCAAGGTCACACAGCACGTGAGATTGCACAGCCTGGCTCTCGTAGAGGTCTCTGCTTTTCTGTTTCCTCCTTCCCCTTGGGGAGGGGAGGATGGGGCGGGATGCTCACGGTCCCTGTGGTCCCTCCTGCAGGTTGTCTACTTCACGGCCACCTTCCCCTTCGCCATGCTATTGGTGCTGCTGGTCCGCGGGCTGACCCTGCCCGGCGCTGGGGAGGGCATCAAGTTCTACCTGTACCCTGACATCACCCGCCTGGAGGATCCGCAGGTAACCAGGGCCCCTGTCCCCCACCGCCGCGGGGGCCTCTCTGATCCCGCCCAGGACCCCCCAGGAGGCCAGTTCTAGAGTCTGCCTTGGGCACTGGGCCAGGAAAGGGACAGACCTTAGCAGCGCTGGCCCCGGGGTGTGGGGGGGAACTGCTGCAGGCCACCCTGGGTGACCAACACTGCAGAGTTAATGGCTTCCTGGGAGGTCCAGGGGCAGGTCCTGAGAGCCACCCCCCGGGGTGCCCAGCCTGGACCTCAGGGAGGAGGAGGAGGCTGTGGGCTCAGTGGTCGACCTTTTGTCCCCAGAGCTCTGCTCTCTGGTCACCTTCCTGGGGGCCGGGTCTCTTCTCCTAAGCTCTGGGAGGGAGGCGGGGAGTTGGCCGGGTTCCAAGGACAGTGAGAAGGTGGTGCTTGTTGAAGGTTCTGGAAAACGGCTTTTGCCTGTGATCCATTAACCATCACTGTCACCATGGGAGCTGCGGGTCCACTGACAGACCGACCTCTTCCCTATTATTATTATTATTATTGGCTCCTGGGGATGGAAGCTCTTAACTGCTCAGCCCTTTTTAAAAATCATTTGCATTTATTTGGGAACCCGTCTGGCTTCCGTTGCTGAAGACTAAAGGGCTGAGGCCGGCCTCCAACTTCCAATCCTCCTGCCTCAGCCTCCCCACCCCCCAGCTCATCTGTATACCCCAAAGTCCCCCCGGAGGCTCATCCCCTGGTGGCCAGGCACCTGCGCCTTCTCCTCCGGGCCACCCATGAGTGACAGCTCCTTCTCTCTCTCTCTCTCTTTCCCTGCCACCTCCCCGTCCGTCACCCTTCCAAGGTGTGGATCGACGCTGGGACCCAAATCTTCTTCTCCTATGCCATCTGCCTGGGGGCCATGACCTCCCTGGGGAGCTACAACAAGTACAAGTACAACTCGTACAGGCAAGTGTCGCGCCGGCGGGGCCTGGTGGACCCTAGATGTGATGATGTTGAAAAGAAAAAGAAAAAGAAAAAGAAAAAAAAGAAAACAAGTTGAGTAGGAAGCCTGGCTTCCATGTGTCGTGAATTAACTTGCTCCCTGACATATGTGTGACTTAGGGACTGTATGCTGCTGGGATGCCTGAACAGTGGTACCAGTTTTGTGTCTGGCTTCGCAATTTTTTCCATCCTGGGCTTCATGGCACAAGAGCAAGGGGTGGACATTGCTGATGTGGCTGAGTCAGGTACGGTAGCCTCGGGGGCAGTGGTGGTGGGCACTGCCACCTAGTGTTCAAGCCGAGTACTGCAGGCATGAAGCCAGACCCCCCCCAGGGGGGATGGGGGGGGAATGAGCCTGATTTCCAAAATAGACCTCCCCCCCCACCAAGAAGTACCCCCCCACACACACGGATTGTCACCGAGCCCAGGAGGAGCGGCCTTGGAAAATCAAAATGGTCATTGCAACTGGGGCAGCAGGAATGCCATGGGGAGGCGGTGACATTGGGGACATTGGGCGACGTGGTGTGTCCGCCCTTTTGCAGCCCATTCCCGGTTTCAGGGACAGAAACCACCCCGTGGCCATGGCATCATGGCCTGGCCACCTTCCCCCCAGCCTGGGTGACGGGGTTTGGCCCTTTGCTCTCAGTGCGCATGCGTCTCCCTCCATCTGTCAATCAAATCTCCAGTTCCTCCATCCGTCAATCAAATTCCCCGGGGGCCAATCAAATCCCCGAGGGGCCGTCAGGGCGGGGCCAGAGGGAGTGGAAGGCGCCCCTCCCAGGGAAGGTGGGAAGCGCAGTGTCCCCCGCCTCCTGGGGACACATGGCGTCACAGGCGAGGCCTGCTCCGTTTCCCAACCCTGAGCCCTCTGTGGGGTCGGGGACCTGGGGGACCTGGAACCCTGTCATGTCGCCTGGCAATGCTGGGCTCTCCCGTGGCCCCCGGTGTAGACCCTCAACCCAGTGTCCCGGGGACCTGGGTTCCAGGACGCGGTCACCGCTGCTCATGTCCTGGGCTTGGGACTTGCAGACGACAGTGGCTTTAGATGATAAGGCTCCCGAGGTCCCCAGACTCTTCTTGTCCTGGCTTCTTGGGCCCTTCTCAGGGTCCTGCCCGGGTCCCTCAGGAGGGTCCTTGTCCCTTGTCTGGAAGGGTGGGTGGGGTTGTCACCGCTGAGACCCCCACCTGGCTTCCTGACGTCTGTCACAACCGCCCTCGGGTCGCCTGGACCCAGGTGAGGGTCCTGGGCTAAGGTCCCTTTGGAGCCTACCGCGGCAGACCAGGGGCGGGCTGTTCTCTTGACCTTGACCTTGACCTTGCCCTCCTCCAACGTCATGCATTGGAAATGCAAGACGGTGCCCCTCCCGCTGCTGGGGTCCCAGGGGCCACTTTGGCATTTCCAGGGTGGAGGCCAGCGGTCACTCTGGGGGGGTGAGAGCCAGAACAGGGGTCTCCTGGCCCCTGGCCCTGTCCCTCCACCTGCTGGAGAAACCCCCCCCCCATCACCGTGTCCCTCTTCTGCCTCCCCATCCGGGCCTGGGACACCTGTGACAATCTCTGGCCTTTCAGGTGTGAGCATTGGCCTGGGCTCCTCCGACCTCCTGGAGTCCCCTGTCCCCTGTCCCCTGCCAGGTCTCATCCTTGGGACACCCCCGTCCCCTCCCCAAGCTGCAGAACCACCTGGAAAATCCAGCCCCCGGCCCCCTACGTGCCTCTCTTCCCCTCCTTCCAAATCAGACCCTCAGAGACAGTCCCCAGAGAACAGACCAAGGACACCCAAAATGATTCTAGAAATTTCCATGGCCAGTTGGGAGTGTTGAGGGGGGACCCAGGGCACCCCGTTGCCCGCTTTGCCCATAGATGGTGGGGGCTTTTGCAGAGTCCTGTGGGTGGATTGGACATGGCCCAGGGCAGGGCCTGGATCTTGGTGTGGGGGAAGACACAGAGAACTCTCTCTGTGATCCAGAACTTTCTCTGTGGACGGCCGGGCGCTTTTGCATACCCGTCTCTGGGCATCCTGAGTCGTTTCCGAACTCTCCACTGTGTCCACTTCAGACATCTGGTCATTCATTCCCCGTGGGGATGGCCAGGAGCCGCCGGTAACCTCTAGAGCGATTATTTCTCTAATGAGCTTTTAACGAGCACCATATTGAGCCACGGTGTATTTAGATGAGATAATTAAGTAGCCAGATGGGAGCGCTGGGCAGGCGGGGGGACACAGCCTGGCTCGGGTGGGGACTTCCCTGCCCCATCCCCAAGTTCACCATCAGCTCTCAGGGAAAGACTTTGGGACCCTCTCCCAGAGCCTGGCTTGAAAAAAGCAGAATTAAAATCCAGACACAGAAAAACTGAGCATCTTTGGGAGGCCCTGGCAGGAGGCTGGGGAGGGAGTCCCATTTTACATCTGTCTCCCAATTGACTGGACCAAAGTCCTCAATTTTTTTTTTTTTTTTTGGTACCAGGCATTGAATCCAGGGGTGCTTCACCACAGAGCCCCCTCCCCAGCCCTTTTTATATTTTATTTAGAGACACGGACTCACTGAGTTGCTAAGTCGCCGAGGCTGGCCTCTAATTTGAGATCCTCCTGCCTCAGCCTCCTGAGCCACTGGGATTGCAGGCGTGCGCCGCTGTCCCCGGCCCAATTCCTCACTGCTGTGGCATTAGGGAGAGCACGGTGCTCCCCTCCTCTGGCCTCCTTGGTGGACCCGGCTGCAGATGCCCTATTTTAACCCTGACCTTGATTCCAAGCTTGTCCTGGGCGGGAAGCCTAATCCAGTTCTCAGCCGTCCACGCTGGGGTCCATTCAAGTAGCTTTCGGGCTTGAAAGGAGACCCTGAGGCCACTTAGGGTCACCCTAAGCAACCACTGGACAAGGCCAAGGCCATTGTTGGGGTCTGGCTGAGTCGACTCCTCCTTCTGAAGAGGCCCGCCCCCCTCTGCCACCTTTGGGGTGTTAGTGGGGACATTTTTTGGTACCAGGGATTGAACCCAGGGGCCCTCGACCCCGGAGCCCTGTCCCCAACCCTATTTTCCATTTTATTGAGAGACAGGGTCTCGCTGAGTGGCTCAGGGCCTCGCTTTGGCTGAGGCTGGCTTGGAACTCGCGATCCTCCTGCCTCAGCCTCCCGTGGGATGACTGGCATGTGCCCGGCGCCCGGCCCTCCCATCCTCAGAGCATTCATTTGGCGCATAATGTTTGCTTTAAAAACCATGCCTTGCCGCCTTTCGGAGGCAGGAGGAGGAGACCTTTCTATTTCCAGAATCATCCCAGCCACAGGCTGCCCGGGGAGCTGACCACACTCCTGTGCCCACCCCCCGCAGCCAAATCCACACATTGGAAACCGAGAGCTCTTTATTTGTGTGTGTGTGTATGGTGGGGGGGACATGGTCTCTGCCTCTGAGCATCTGGACAGACGCCCTTGGGGTGACCTGTCCCCTCACTTTTAGGTGAGGCCCTCCAAGGGGGAGATACAGACAGGAAGTGCTCCTGAGCCTGGGGGGTGCCTGTCCCCGTGGGGCTGGGCCCTGGGTGGCCCAGCGCGCCTCGCGGGAGTGCACAGAGAGGTGTAGAGACCTTCTGTTTGCAAACCAGGAGGCCTCCAGTGGTCAGACCACCAGGACTTTCCAGCCCAGGTGGCCGGGGAGAGGCGGCGGGGTCCCCCACTTCTCCTGACTCCCTGGGCCTCGGTCCTCCAACCCTGCTCCCCGACAACCCCGAGTCTGCACGGTTCTGGGCCTCTGCGGAGGCCAATCTTGGAGGCCACTCTTGGAGGCCACTCTTGGAGGCCAATCTTGGAGGCCACTCTTGCTGCATAAGAGACAGATGCCCCCGTGCGTCCCCCCACCCACCCCAAGCGAGACAGGCCTGGTGTCTCTCCCCAGGTGACAGACCCGGCTCCTCCCCGGGTCTTGGGTTTGGGAGGCCCACCTCAGATCCGAGAGTCTTTGCGGTGAGGCCCGGGGTGCCGAGTGGCCTGGTCACTGACGCGTCCCCTACCTTGTGTCCCCCCCTCCCCGTTTTCTCTCTCTCTTGTAGGTCCTGGCTTGGCCTTCATTGCGTACCCCAAAGCTGTGACCATGATGCCGCTCCCCACCTTTTGGTCGATTCTTTTCTTTATTATGCTTCTCTTGCTTGGACTGGATAGTCAGGTACGTAGCCACTGTCCCCTGGGGTGGGGACCTGATTCGCTGCCTTCAGGGGATATTTCAAGTTGGTTTCAGCCCCCGGGGTCTGAGCAGGGTGCGACTGAATGTGCCTGTCCTCCCAAGGGGGACTGGGGAGGCCGAGGCAGGAGGATCGCAAAGTGGAGGCCAGCCTCAGCCAAAGCAAGGCCCTGAGCCGCTCAGGGAGACCCTGTCTCTCAATAAAACACAAAACAGGGCTGGGGACCGGACTCCGTGGCTGAGTGACCACGAGTTCAATCTCTGGGGCCTCCGAATGAAGAAAAGGAACCCAGTAGAGGCTTTGGCAGACAGGGGACCCCGATTAGCGGGAAAGACAGGAGGAGGACATTTGGGACGCTAAAAGCAAACTCCGAGTCCCGCCTTGGCTGATGGACTCAGCTGGGTCAGCAAGTTGGGGACGCCGTTAATCATTCCTGGTTCATGGGTTTGGCCTCTGGAGGCCCCAGGCATGAAGCTTCTAGAACCTCTGCCAGAGGTCGGCTTGCAGGCGGGGACAGAGCCAAACACAGAGGTTAATGACCGACGAGGCGTGACGTCCCCACGGGCCCTAAGGAGGCCACCCAGGCTTGGGAGAAACTGCTTCCTGAGCCAGAGGGGACCTCGGTTCATCATGAGACTCTCCTCCCTCGGGGACACGGGCCCGGGTTGGGGACAGGCCCCTCTCCGGAAGGTCCCAGGTCTGCAGATGACCTTAAGGGTCCCAGGAAGCCCTCAAAGCCAGCCCCGGGGACGGTGGTCACTCCTTACCCCGTCTGCAGAGCCTGGGACTCAAGGCTCGGTGGTCAGGTGGCCTGTCACTCAGACCCAGGGGACAGGAGGTGTTGAGCCCAAGTCCCCGGATCCCCAGGCCACCCCCGGGGACTGAGCAAGGGAAGCCACATTAGGCCGGGGTCCTTTGTCCGCATCTGATGGCCGTGGGGACTTGGGGGACGTGGGGAAGGGGGAGGTTTGGCAGAGGCCAGCCCTGTCAGCCCTGTGAGGGGGGACCCAGGGTGTCCCTGAAATTTAAATGCCTCCGCGGGTCCCTTAATCCCCAAACGGCCCTTCTGAGACCTTGCCACAGGACATTTGAGCCTCAGGACAGATGGGGAGAGGAAGTGTCACTGTCGGGGGGAGTAGGAGCAGAAACCTGGAAGCCGTATGAGTCGGGGGCTTGGGTTAGATCAATGATGATCTATGTCCAGGAGGTGGAGTCTAATGTCACCATTTCAAAAACGAGGCAGTTCCCCTGGCGCAGTCTCCATGATCGATTGTTCTGCCCAGAGACCGAGAGAGGGAGACTGGCTCCGGAATGTCACCGAGGGAGGGTCCCTCTCAAGTCACCTTGGCTACCTTTGGAAGCCCCGGGGTGGATTCGTGGATCTCCGTGTCGCTCACGCACCTGGGTGTGCGGATCCACCGGGATCGACTTCCGTTCTCCCCGGGGGACACCAAGCCACCCAGCAAGTGGGCGCTGAGCTCCACGTTTGGGTCACACGTCGGCTGAGGGGCCCCCTGCGTGTGGCACCCCGTGGCTCGACCCACACGGCCCAGGGCTCCCGGCTCAGAAGGCCCTGGACTTGCCCTGTCTCTGGTCACCCCTCACGGCTGCTCCTGTCTTTCCTGCAGTTTGTGGAAGTCGAGGGACAGATCACGTCCTTGGTGGACCTCTACCCGTCCTTCCTAAGGAAGGGTTATCGCCGGGAGATCTTCATCGCCATCGTGTGTGGCATCAGCTACCTGCTGGGGCTGACGATGGTGACGGAGGTAGGTGACGAGAGCGCGGTGGAGGGAGGTGACAGTGAGGGCGACCGAGGGAGGTGACGGTGAGAGTGGTGATGGCCAAGGAGGTAGGTGGATGGAGGTAGGTGACAATGAGGGTGGCGATGGTGACAGAGGTAGGTGACAATGAGGGTGACGATGATGATAAAGATGGGTGACAATGATAGTGACAATGGTGACAGATGTAGGTGACGATGAGGGTAACAGAGGTGGGTGACAGTGAGGGTGATAATGATGACAGGTGACAATGAGGGTGACATTGATGATGGAAGTGGGTGACAATATTGGTGACAATGGTGACAGAGGTAGGTGACAGTGAGGGTGATGATGGTGCTGGAGGTGACAGTGATGGTAACAATGAGGGTGACAATGACAATGGAGGTGGGTGACAATGACAATGGAGGTGGGTGACAATGAGGGTGACAATGATGATGACAATGGTGACCAATGTAGGTGACAATGAGGGTGACGATGGTGACAGAGGTAGGGTGACAATGAGGGTGACAATGGTGACAGGTAGGTGACAATGATGGTGATGATGGTGGCAGGTGACAATGAGGGTGACAATGGTGACAGATGTAGGTGACATTGAGGGTGATGATGGTGAACAGAGGTGGGTGACAGTGATGGTGGCAATGGTGACAGAGGTAGGTGACAATGAGGATGACAAGGTGACAGAGGTAGGTGACAGTGATGTGACAAGGGTGACAGAGATAGGTGACAATGACAGTGACAGTGGTGATGGAGGTGGGTGACAATGAGGCTGGCAGGTAGGTGACAATAATGGTGACAGGTGACAATGACAGTGACAATGGGGATGGAGGTGCCTGGCCCTCCCTGTGTGGCACGGGGACTCCCCTTGTCCCTGTGGAAGGGGGGGGGTGCACTGACTGCCCCTGGCCATGGCCACCCATGGGCAGGGCTGGGCAGGGCTGGACACGTGTGGCCCATCGGGGCTGAGGCCGGGGGACATGGGGGCTTCTGGCTGACGGGGGCAGATCCACGGTTCAGAGAGTGGCCAGGGGCCAGGAGGGGGCTCGACTTCAAATAGGTTTAAGGGGTGGCCCACGTAACCCAGGAGGCTGAGGCAGGAGGATCCCAAGTTGGAGGCCAGCCTCAGCAACTTAGCGAGACCCTGTCTCTAAATAAAAAAATCATAAAAAGGGCTGGGGACGGGGGCTCAGTGGGTCCAATCCCTGGAACCAAAAATAAATAAAATTAACAGAGAGAGCGCCCGAGAGGTGACAGGAGCAGGTGTGTCACCGTGCCTTGGCACCTCTAGCAAGAGGAAAGCCAGAGAGACAATGCGCTCAGCCCACACAAGCCCAGCGTCACCCCGGGCCTGCCCTGCTGCGTCCCTCCTCAAGCTGGGTGGGACCAGAGTCCTGTGTGTTAACTGCACTTGATTCGGCCGCCATTATTTTGGCCATTATTTTTGCTAAGACAATGTTGCTTGTCTACTTTCCGTCTCTGTGTGTCCGAGTTCAAGAAGGTTCAAACTTCAAACCGTGAAGCTGGACATCTTTTTATACACATTTATCCGGTCATCCTGTGTCACCCATTTTTTTTTTTCCTTTGGGAGTATTTTTTGTTGTTGTTGTTATTGATTTGCCAGAGCTCTTTGTATATGAAGGGAACTAGAACCCAAACCAGCACTCAACCTGGGATGTGTTGTTCTTTGTTTCCTTACAGGGTGGCATGTATGTGTTTCAACTCTTTGACTACTATGCAGCTAGTGGTGTATGCCTTCTGTGGGTTGCATTCTTTGAATGTGTTGTTATTGCCTGGATATTTGGTGAGTAGAGATTCCGGCATATTCTTCCCTAAGCCTCTCCTTTGGGCCTCTACTATGCGGGGAAGCTTCAGGAGCAGTGAGAAAGGCCTCCTCTTCCCGGCCTCTCCTCTCCGACTTGATACCATTTATCCAGATGACCCCAGTGCTGTGAGGGTTCAAGGTACACATCTCCTTGATCCCCCTGACACAGCATTCCCCGGGGCAGAATGTCACATGTCACCAGCTTGTCACACTGCGGTCACTGTGCTGTGTCACCCAGCGTCCACCGCTGTCTTTTGCAGGTGGTGACAACTTTTACGATGGTATCGAGGACATGATCGGCTATCGGCCTGGGCCCTGGATGAAGTACAGCTGGACTGTCATTACCCCGGTTCTCTGTGTTGTGAGTACAGCCCTGATTTGGCTGGGGGAGGGGGAGGGGATTGGGGACATCTCTGGGTCTCTGGGGTCGTCCCTTCAGTTTCTGGGACAGAGGCCGCTCTAGCAGGGTTCCCAGAGATGGGTTCTGAGGGATGAATAGGAGTTTGTTGGGCAGAGGGGACAGGAAGGGCGTCCCCGCCGAGGAAGCCACCTGTGTTGTGAAAGGGTAGGGTGCAGCCAGGGAGGGTGGAGGTGACAGCGGAGGACCAAGCTCCCCGCTGACTCTCCCAGAGCCTGTGAGCTGGGTGAGGTGGACGTCCAGTGGCAGGCTTGGGAATTTCCATGGACACTGGACATATTGTTTCCATGGTGGGATGAGGATGGTGGCTTCCAGAGAGGACGTCCTCACAGAGGAATGTTCTGGGCTCTCCCAAGGTTGAGGAGACCTCATAGCCCCTCAGGACTTGGGGACAGTGGTCGCCCACCTTGCCCTTCCTGGGGCCGCCATCATCTTGGAAGGGGCCGCCATCTTGGAAGGGGCCGCCATCTTGGAAGGGCCGCCATCTTGGAAGGGCCGCCATCTTGGAAGGGCCGCCATCTTGGAAGGGCCGCCATCTTGGAAGGGCCGCCATCTTGGGAGGGGCCTTGGTCCATTCCCATGAGTTCTGCCTCAGAGGTTGTCCTCCCTGCAATCGGGAAATCCTCGGCAGGGAAGGCTGCTGACCTGTCCCTGTGTGAAGTCACCAGTGTCCTGGGGAACGTGCTGCCCAGAGACACCATTTCCATGGCCACTCTTGCCCTTCCTGGGGCTGCCATCTTGGAAGTGGCCGCCATCTTGGAAGTGGCCGCCATCTTGGAAGTGGCCGCCATCTTGGAAGTGGCCGCCATCTTGGACGTGGCCGCCATCTTGGAAGTGGCCGCCATCTTGGAAGTGGCCGCCATCTTGGAAGTGGCCGCCATCTTGGAAGTGGCCGCCATCTTGGAAGTCCCCATAAGGAGCACCAGGGGCCCTCTGCTCCCAGGCCACGCTGGGTCAGCACTGCTGTTAGCTTGTTGAGTGACCTCAAGCAGCCAGGTCCCACTTTGGGCCTCAGTTTCCCCACCTCTGGAACAAGGTCACTCTGAAGTGGTTCTGGTGGGAGCTGACTGACTTTATTACCAATATCATTTAATAGGATGGGGTCCCCCCCACCCCTGAATTTTTTTTCCCCCAGAAAAGTAAGTAACTATAGCAACCATGGACCACAGCTGAGTTGACCCCTGGCAGAGAGGTGTTGGGTCCATCTCGGTGCATGTTCCTGTCCCCACTGAAAGCTTATTCATGACCAGTGCCTGTCACTCTGACCCTCAGATTCTTTTTTTTTTTTTGTTACCAGGAATTGAACTCGGGGACCCTGGACCCCTGAGCCCCGTCCCCAGCCCTATTTTGCATTTTATTTAGAGACAGGGTCTCCCTGAGTGGCTTAGGGCCTCACTAAATTGCTGAGGCTGGCCTCCACCTTGCAATCCTCCCGCCTCAGCCTCCAGAGCCACTGGGATGACAAGCGTGCCCCACTGTGCCCAGCGTGACCCTCGGTTTCTTCATCCCTCGCTCCCTGAGGGTGGATAGGCTGCACTTGGTGGTGGGGGGGTGGTGTCACCCTCTGGGAGGTGACTTGGTCAGATTCTCGCAGGAAGGAGATTCTCAGGGCAGCAGAGGGTTCTGCTCCCTGGGAGAGAGAGACCGTCCTCTCAGGTTGAGGCCCCTGCACCTCTGGGTGGCCCGGGACCCCCCTCTGACCGCCCCCTTCTCTCTCTCCGTAGGGATGTTTCGTCTTTTCTCTCGCCAAGTACGTGCCCCTGACCTACAACAAAGTCTACGTGTACCCAAACTGGGCCATCGGGTTTGGCTGGGGCCTGGCCCTGTCGTCCATGATGTGCATCCCTTTGGTCATCCTGATTCGCCTCTGCCAGACGGAGGGGCCGTTCCTCGTGGTGAGTGCTGGGCTGGGAGAAGCGGCTTTTTGCTGTGTGACCTGAAGCCAGACGGTAGCCCTCTCTGAATCCTAGACCCTTCCCGGGATGGTTTGGGCAGAGTGCATTGTGGGAAAAGAGGCCCAGAGCCCCGTTGGTGCAGAGTGGGGGAGAGGGCTTTGTGGTCCTGGTCAGGGCAGGTCTGGGGGCTGAGGAAGAAGGTTCCAGAATGTGAGAGTCAAGGACAGAATGTTCTGGAGAAAGGAGCCGAGTTCCCCCCAGACCCCTCTCCTTACCCTGGAGCCCAGTGGAGGCCCAGCCCCCAGAAGCCCCTTGTGCCCGAGTCTCAGCTGGGTTGGTGGCAGACTGTGTGTCTGCCCGTGTCCCCCGGGGGTCCCTTTCCTGCCCCAGCCTCCTCTCCACAAGACGGAGGCCCCAGGGCGGGTCGGGGCTGGCAGAGGCTGAGGCTCTTTCCAAGAAATTCCCTTCTCAGAATCTCCCGGAGCCTCCGGACTTGGGTCGGGGCCAGGACGCGGGTTTTGTTCTGAGCCGGGTGGTTTTTTTGAATTTTATTGTTTTTCTCTCTTCACAATCTGGAGCCAGGATGTCCTGGGGCCCTGCTCCCCCCTGGGCTGGCCTGAGGGAGCTTCCTCCTGGGCTGGAAGGGGAAAGGTTGAGAGTGGGGAGAGGGGAGAAGGAACCCGGGGTCAGGGGGACCAGGGAGCCAGGCAGACCCCCGCCCCTGGGTCTTCATCAGACAGAGGACAGGACCCCAATGTCCAGCCAGAATCCTGGGAAGCCTGTCAGTTCTTAAGATGGTAGGATCTCGAGGCTCGGGAGGCTGAGGCCGGAGGATGGCAAGGTGGAGGCCAGCCTCCGCCACTTAGCGAGGCCCTGAGCCACTCAGGGAGACCCTGACTCTAAATAAAACAGAAAAAGGGCTGGGGACGGGGCTCAGGGGTCAAGTACCCGTGGGTTCAATCCCAGGTACCAAAAAACCAAACAAACCTGAAATCCTGGGCCTGGGGACAAACAGGGGACACCGGCTGCTCTGAGCACTCCTAGGTGGCCCCCTCCCTCATCCCCAGCAGCATGAGCCAAAGTCCAATCAGGGAGCAAGAACCTTCCATCCACTCCAGGAGAACCCCCAAAACCAGAGAGGGTGATCACTGTCCCAAGGCCACACAGCACACACCAGAAATGTCAGGAGGGAGGCCGAGGGGGACGGGGACGTGGCATCTGAGCCCTGGGGTCTTCCTTCTGCAGAGAGTCAAGTACCTCCTGACCCCGAGGGAGCCCAACCGCTGGGCCGTGGAGTGTGAAGGGGCCACTCCCTACAGCTCCCGCATCACGCTCAACGGGACCCTCATGAAACCGACTCACATCATCGTGGAGACCATGATGTGAGACCCCCGCGGGGGGCCACGGGGCGGCCGCTTTCCACCTGTTTACTAACATTAGATTCTCCTAGGACCAGGTTTACAGAGCTTTATATTTTGCACTAGGGATCTCTTCCTCGTCCTCGTTGGTGTTTTTTTTTGTCAAACGTGAACTCCGTGCGTGCGCGCGTGTGCGTGAGCGTGTGTGTGTGTGTGTATCGTGGGTGTGCGTATTTTGTTCTGATTTGGGGATATTTTGTACAAAAAAAAAAAAAAAAAATAGAAGAAACACCCCCCCCCCTGGGCAGATGTCCCCAGGGAAATGCGAACTTTCCTACTGAATTAGGTCTCTTTTAGGGGAACGGGGTGAAAAGTTTTCTTTGTAGATATCTTTGTTTATTTCTCTTTCTGGAACATGTGACTCTTGACCATGGGACACTTTGACCATGTGAATGACTCTTCTCGCCAGCAATAGAGATCGTTTTTTTTTTGGTTTTCTTTTCCAAAAGCAATTTTTCGGTGCTTGGTCGAACCAGGAGAAAATTCTGACCCCCAAGGAAAACTAAAATGTTGAGGACGATTTTTTTAGCCCTGAGCGGCATCTTGAGGGTGTAGTATCTTTCCGAACCTGGTTCAGGGGTTCGACATCCCGAGCAGAGTGACTGGCCAGACCCCCAAGGAGCAGAAGAAACAGGGCCCGGAGGAGACCCTTCGTTACATTTCTCTCAGCCAACAGTAAACCTGCCAAAATCTATGAACCAGGCCCTCAAATTAAATAGACGGACCGAGAGAGCTCAGAAAAGTTAAATAGCAATAGAAACTCTAGCTCCGGGTTTTTCTTTTTTTAAAAAAATCCCATCTTTTATTTTGAGATCGAGGGTGGATAATCAGTAGGACTGTCCGAGTCCAGGGTCCAAGCAGGAGCTGCGAGACATGGCAGAGCCCTTGAAAGAGGTGGGTGATGGGCCACGCATGATCCTTTCTGGAACATTCCGGGCAAAGACCCCCAAGCTGGCTCGAGAGCACCCGGGGTCTGGCGGGTGGGTCTGTTGCATTTGAAGGGGGTCAGTGCAGGATCTGGGTGTCCCCCCACCCCCCAAGGATGAGGGGACACAGATGGACCAAAGGACAGGGGCCTGGGGTTGGGGAGCGGGGATTCCCTCCCCTCGACTCTCCACCCCCGACTGGGACCTGCTCTCTCTCCAGTGTCACCTAGGGCCACCTCGGCTCCTGGCCCCCAGATGCCCAGAGTGGCCTCAGGGGTGGGATCCTCCCTGAGTGCCGGCCCAAGGAGGGTCTGGCAGGTCGGGTCGTCCAGGGACCCGGGGGGAGAGGGGGCTGGCACCCCCAAGACCTGGTGTCATCGTGAGTGACACCCAGAGCCAGGTCGGCCCCTGAACCAGGAAGGAAGGTGCTGCACCCTTCAGAGGTCCACCCCGTGCCCCCCGTGGACCTGAACGGGGCCGTGGGCCGTCCTTGTCACTGTGGTCAGGGTCTCGGCCACACCCCCAACGTGACCGCAGGCACCCAGGCGGGGACTGTCCCCGTGGCTGGCTTCCACGTCCCGAGCTGTGTCTCTGGGACCCCTGGAAACCTCCTGCCGCCCCAATTTGGGATTTTTAGTGGAGGGGGGGAGACTCCGCTGTCCCCCTCCTGCCCCTCTGGTCTCGGACAAGTGGCCTATTTAGGGACACTCTGCCAAACGTCCCCCGATCCCATTCCAAGCCACCCGTGCTGGTCCCCTGTCCCCGTTTTTCCGTGTCTCTGTGGTCCCCGTGGTGAGGGGCCTGTGTCCTTGTCCTGCTGATGTGACCCAGTTGCCGTGTGACCCCCCTCCCCCCTGGTTTCCCTGTCGTCTCTGGAACTTTCTAGAAAACTCACCTTGTGTCCCTCTGGGAAGGCAGGGTCCCCCCCACCCCCCGGGGAGCAGGACCCTGACAGACTGCGGCCACCTGAGCCTTCGGGGTCCTCTCGGTCCCCCTGTTCCCCTTCCTGCCACCACCGTGAGCTGGTGACCTGGGGGAGGGACATCCCGCTAACGTGGTGACACTCTCCTAGACCAAAGACGCACACAGAGGCCGGGTCCCCAAGGCCCCCACCTGGAAGAGGGGTCGGCCACTGTCTCCAACTGCTGCTCCCGGGGCCCCGGGCCCCTGCCTTCCCGTGTCCCCTCCTGGCCACAGCGTTGGTCCGTGTCCCCCGTGACGATGGCCGTCTTTCCGTCTCTCTCTGTAGAAGTGAAATCTGTCCCTTAGAGCTCACGACTGGTCCCCGTCTTGGGACAGGCGGGTCCGACCTTCCTCCCGCCATCCATCTGCCTGGGACGGGTCAGAGATCTGGTGTCACCTAGGTCTGATGTCACCCGGTGCCCAGGCTGCCCCGTCTGCACAGGAAGCCACCAAGGCACAGACTTTTCTTTTTTTTTAAAGATGAAGAAGTGGGTGGGGGGGTCCCCAAGATGAATGTCCACCCCCCTCCCCGGGGAGCTGCCTCATGGATCGGAGACCCTGGGACTGTCCCCAAGGCTCTCCAGGGTCCCCTGTGCAGTGACCTCGGTGTCCCTGGGGAAACCCGGTCCCCGAGCAGGGAGGGGGCTCCAGACGTTCCCGGGTCACGAGGACCAGGCGGTGGCCGGCGAGTGTGACCGGAGCCGGGTCCCCATCCCTCCCCAAGGTTCTCCCTGGCGACCAAAGACGCGTGGGTGACAGAGGAAGCAGCTGTCCTGGTGGCCAGGGACGGGGCGAGAAGCATCCCCAGCACCTCAGACCCTCCCCCGGGGCCTCTCGGTCCCCAGCTGGCGAGATGGGAGGTGGCCTCGGGCAGGACAGGCCATCTGTCCCCTCTGGCCCTGCCCAGGGACCTCCTTCCCCGCAGGTCACCCCTGGGAGAGGGGACCCGAGAGTCCTCTGTGCACAAGAGCCAGCCCAGGCCCAGGCTGGCCGGTCGGCTCCCCCTAAAAAAAAAATAGGATTTAATGACAATTTCCAGGACCAGGTGGCACTCCCCGGTCCCCGCCCAGCACCCCAAAGATGGTGGCACCAAGAGCCCCTGGGCTGTCCCCGAGCACCTCCAAGAGCCCCTTTGACAAAGCCATGGCTCTGGGCGGTGGCACCAGGCTGGGAGCAAAGAGTCCCCAACTTCTCCCCGACACTCAGCCAGAAGGGGACCCAAGGGACAATCCCTGGAGGATCCTTCAAAGCCTCAGACGCAGGCAAGACCCTCCGACAGATTCAGGGCCAAACCGAAAACCCAGGAGCCACCAAGTTGGAGAACAATCCAGAGTCCCCGAGTCCCAGGGCCACCCCCGCCTGCCCGCCCGTGACCCCCCACAGGAAGCTCTCCCCACCCCACGGTCCCCTGAGTGTCCCCTCTCCACCTGTTGTGACTCCCTGGAGGAGGAGGAGGGAGTCTCTTGTGGGACCTTTGGCTTCCCATCAAGATGGTGGCTGCATTTTGATTTTTTTTTTTGTCCCTTGATTTCCCCCAAGTCATGGTCCCCCAACCTTCCCCTCCCCCTCCCCCCACGCACCCCCAAGACTCTCTCTATTTAGCACAAAGCAAAAGCTGATAAACGTGGGGTTCGCCTCCTTCCAGAAAAAAAAAATGTCCTGGCTCATCGGGACTTTTTTAAAAAATAAAAATTTTTAAAAATTTAAAAAAAAAAATGAAAATTAAAAAAAAAAACCTTCGAACTATTTTTAAGGTATTTTAAACTTTTGTAAAAAAGAAAAAATACGACTAAAAAAAAAAAAGAATCTATGAAATCCATCCACGGGAGACTCTTCGGAGGAGGAGATATTTGTATTTGAACAAAATCCTTGGTGTGTCCCCCTCCCCATCCCCCTGTCCCCGCAGAATACGAGCTTCTGTGCGTCCACGTTTGATGATGGAGGGTCCCTGGGATTCGCGGGGCTCGTGTGAGTGTGTGTGTGTGTGTGTGTGTTCATTTCTTCTTGGCTTTTTAGATAAATATGTATATCGATATTTTAAATCCATCTTTGGCTTTTTTTTCTTTTTTGTAGAGGAGTTTGTAATCACCTTATAACACGACAATAAACGTTTCCTTTTTAAAAGCCCCCAGCGGGTGTGCGGTGTGTTGGGGCTGAGCGGACGTTTCCCCGTGGGTTGGGCGAGCCCTTGACAGTTTCTAGAAATTTCTGTGAAGGGCTTTTTGAGGCCGACCCTGCAAAAATGTAGAGAGTGCAGGTGGAGGATCCCGTCCCAGGTGGAGGGGGGGGACCATTTCTGTATTTTATTGAGAGACAGGGTCTCTCGCTGAGCGGCTGAGGCTGGCCTCCAACTTGGGATCCTCCTGCCTCAGCCTCCAGAGCCGCTGGGGGGATGACAGGTGTGCGCCACCACGCCCACCCTCCAAGCCCTTTTTAGTTTTTATTTTTGAGCCAGGGTCTCACGCGAGGTTGCTCATAGACGCCCACTTGTGATCCTTCCTGCCTCGGCCTCCGGAGCCCGAAGTCTTAATGATTTGCTTACGGGGTTCACCGTCCTCCACTGTAGTAGGCAGACAGGCCCTCAGTCCCTCTGTGGATGTTGTAATGTCCAGGGGCCACATCACGCCCAGTAAATGGCAGGTTTTTAAAGTGTCTTAACGTATGGCTAACGTGCATTCACATTGGGGAGGCTGAGGCAGGAGGATCGCAAGTTGGAGGCCAGCCTCAACAACATAGCGAGGCCCTGTCTCTATAAAAGGAATAAAAATAAGGGCTGGGGATGGGGGTTCGGTGGTTAAGTCCTCCTGGGGTTCCATCCTGGGTACCCAAACTTCAAACAACAAAAATATCAGTGTTTGAACTTAAACCAGGTGCGATGTCACCGGATCTGTAGGGACACTGGGTCTCGCCGACCAAGAAATAAAGAAAATTAAGGAAAAAGAAAACCGTCCACTCTGGTGCCTTGAAATATTTTTACTTTTTAAAAAAAAAAAATCACCCTGCGGGTACTGGACCCCCCCACCCCACAGGGACACAGATTGACACGTGGGCCCCCCACAGACCACAGGTGGCCTTTGCAATGTCGCTGGTTGGCACGTCGGGCTCTCCCCGGAGCCCTGAGAAACCTCGAGTAGAAAAATACTTTACAAGGAAAGTCCTCATCTCAGCCAGAGAAAAATACAGCTTTGGGGACGGGGGCGGGGAGGGGGACATGTCACAGGGGCCGTTCCCAAGAGGCGTCTGCAGGCAGGGCGGTCACCGGGGAGGGGTGCTGGGGAGCGTCAAGTCAGGGACGGGCGTCCCCACGAGAAGCCACGGGAAGTATTGCATATGAGAAGGTCCCACTGGCCACAGAGCCACAGGGCCACGCCGCCCGGCCTCATTGCATATGTTGGGGGTGGGGTAAATGGCGGAGGCCACAGCCCGAGGAGGGGACAGGGGGGTGCAGGTCCGAGTGGATGTGTCCTCCCTGGCCTGGAGGCCTGGAGTCCGAAGGGGCAAGCCCAAGCCCAGAAGCCCTGAGTGTGTGTCCGTGACAGCCCTGTTTCTTCACAAAGGCCCAGAGAGGGTGGGCCACCCATCCAAGGCTGCACAGCAGGACCCGCTGATGGCCCGGAGAGACACCTCTCTCTGGCGGTGCCGTCTCCCACCCCTCGAAGCCGGGGTCTCTGGGCCTTCGCATGGTGCCCCTGATGACAGGTGGGCAGAGTCCTTTCACCCTGGGGTGGACGTGGACCCGGGAATCCAAGATGGCAGAGACGCTTGGGTGGCCCCAGCCAGAGGCAGGAAGGACCCTCGGGGACGGGACCATCAGGGAGCAGGACGCCGGGAAGTGGAGGGGACGGTGGGCAGGTGGAGAGGGTCCTGTGTCCGCTCAGAGACTGTCCA